GAAAATAATTAGTCATGGCTCTTTCATGTATATGAGTTATGAACAATTATTTTCATATACATATATGTAAGTGAGAGAGAGTACCAAATGTCAAATGAGATGGAGCTAAAGTTCACAAAAACATCATGAAACTATTTCAAAAGTAATCTGAAATTCCAACTTATGGTCTAATTTAAAAACACCTCTGTGAATAAATATGCATATTTTAGTGTAATTATTAGGGCATCGAGTCAAGAGGTCCACATTTTTAATCCCTCCACTGCCATGCAGATCAGAGGAGGGATGCTATTTAAAATTTCTCTCTTAAATATCCTCATTTTGTGAAAAGGAAATACAATTATTACTCAACAATGGGCATAATTATGAGGATTTATACTATATAAATGTTCAAATTTAATGCTTTTTTAGACATTCATAGGTCAGAAATCGTTCTTATGTAATGAACTGTCATGTATTTTTATCTTATACCTATTATATATTTTTATGACGGGCTCTTTTACTTCTGAGTCTTCACTCATGTGCATGATATAGTTCTGATATGCTTTAGCAGATCTATTAAGTATTGTAGCCTGATGCGTTCCACAGTTAACAGTTATGATAATGAGATGGATCTTATGGGAAATAAATGCTAAAATCTATTGAACAGTGGAGAAAATTTGCATTAATGGAAATACATAATAAATCTTGAAACAAATTTTTTGGCTAAATGCTACCTAAATATCAGCTCAACTACCTCAATTATTTCTCTTCATTTCTAGACTTGTTTCTCCTTCTGTATTTCATGTCTTTGTTAATGTCATAAAAATTCACCTAGATGCTTAGCCTAGAAACATTAGCATCGTATATTCTTCTGCTATCTTTTCACTTACGCTTTCTTACCTAAATATGTACTTATTCTTCTAAACTTAATTTAAAAAAAAATATTTGCTGTTTTTATTTTTTTATTTTATTTTTTATTTTTTTATTAGGGAATTGGGGGGATGGGAACAGTGCTGGGGAATTGGGGGAAGGGGAACAGACAAGTTGCTGTCGTTTTGTTCTTCAATCTAGTTGTGGAGGACGNCCTCTTCTCCCTCATCCCCACCCCCTCCCATCTAGCAACCATCAGTTTTTCCTCTGAGTCTCTGAGACTATTTCTGTTTACATTACTCGTTCATTCAGTTCTTTAGATTCCACATATAAGTGAGATCATATGGTATTTGTCTTTGTCTGATTGACTTATTTCACTTAGCATAATGTGGGAGAGCTTTTGTTTTGTTTTGTTTTGTTTTGTTTTGATGTGAAAGGAAAGCAGGTTAGAGTATATGTGTGTTTTTTGGGGGTCTGAGGAGACCATGGTTTTCACCTCAGTATCTCCAACACCTAGCATGGTAACTATTCAATACATCTTCATTGAAGAAAGAATGAATAAATAATGGGAAAAATGAACACATTCAATCAACAAACATTTAGAGAGAGCACTTACTGCGTGCAGGATTGGACATGGGAGTAAGCTCTTCTAGTGTATATTTTGGCTACGGAAAACCCCTGGGAACCATTCTAGGTCCTGCAGAGAGAGACTTTTTTTTTGTGAGTCAGAACAGGTTGTTAACATGGAAAATAACTGACTGCAAAGAAAGCAGCCATATGTGTCTGTTGCAGAAATGTGAAATGAACCTGGACTCATGATTTTGATCTTTGAAGTCGGGGATAGTAAAAGGGAGGTTCAGCCTCTAGGGTCAATTTCCAGTTTGGTGTGTTCCTGTACAGGGCCCTGCACACAGCTGGGATTTAAAAGATGTTAATTATGTAGTGGGTACTCTGACCGGGGTTTCGCACAGGTGTGAAGTGGAACTGATTATGGAAATGAGCATGGTGAAGGCTGCCTGCTTGCCTGTCTCACTGCATAAATGGCAGAAGGGCAGCTCCCTCGTAGCTCTCTTGTCCAAGTCAAACTTGAACGTTATGGGAGTCACCCGGGGTTCTCATTAAAATGCTGATACTGATTCATTAGGTCTGGGGTGGGGCCTGCGATCCTGTATCTTTCAGAGCTTCCCAGGGGATGCCTATATTGCTGGTTGGAGGGCCACACTTGATCAAAGTGAAGCTCGAATGTCCTGGCAGATTCAGAGGGGGCCTCAGTACTAATGCCGGTTCTTCCTTGGCAGAGTTACAGCACCATGGCCAACCACATTCTGAACAGCAAAAGCATCTCAAACTGGACCTTCATCCCTGAAAAAAACAGCAGCTGTGTCCTGCTCCACTCAGTCAATTCCTTTGCCAGAAAGCTACTTGTACATAAACACTCCATTGACATATCGGATGTCTTCATTCATACGATAGGCACCACCATATCTGGAGATAACAATGGAAAGAATTTAACCTTTTCAATGAGAGTTAATGATACCAACGATGATGAGGTCGCTGGGAGGGTGCTGATCAATAGAGATGAACTTCGGAAGTTGCCTTTTCCTTCTCAGATCATCAGCATTGCCTTTCCAACTCTTGGAGCCATCTTAGAAGCCAGCCTTTTGGAAAAGGTCATTGTGAACGGGCTTGTCCTGTCTGTCATTTTGCCCAAGGAACTTGAAAGAATCTTACTGACTTTCGAAAAGATCAGCAAGTCAGAGGAGAGCAGAACACAGTGTGTTGGCTGGCACTCTTCGGAGAGCAGATGGGACCAGCAGGCTTGTCAAATGATTCAAGAAAACTCCCAACAAGCTGTCTGCAAATGTAGGCCAAGCAAGTTGTTTACTTCTTTCTCCATTCTTATGTCACCCCACAGCTTGGAGAGCCCCATCCTGATTTACATCACGTACATAGGCCTGGGCATTTCTATTTGCAGCTTGATCCTTTGCTTGTCCATCGAGGCCTTGGTTTGGCGCCAAGTGACGAAGACGGAGATCTCATATTTACGCCACTTGTGCATCGCTAACGTTGCAGCCACCTTGCTGATGGCTGATGTGTGGTTCATCGTGGCTTCCTTTCTTAGTGGTCCCATGACCCACCACGATGGATGTGTGGCAGCAACATTTTTTGTTCATTTCTTTTACCTTGCTGTGTTTTTCTGGATGCTTGCCAAAGCACTCCTTATCCTCTATGGAATCCTGATTGTTTTCCATACACTGCCCAAGTCAGTCCTCGTGGCATCTCTCTTTTCGGTGGGCTATGGGTGCCCTTTGGTCATTGCTGTCATCACGGTGGCTGCCACTGAGCCCGGCAAAGGCTACCTAAGGCCTGAGGCCTGCTGGCTCAACTGGGACATGACCAAGGCTCTCCTGGCCTTTGTGGTCCCAGCTCTGGCCATCGTGGTTGTCAACCTGATCACAGTCACAGTGGTGATCGTCAAGACCCGGCGAGCTGCCATCGGCAGTTCCATGTTCCAGGAGGTGAGAGCCATTGTGAGAATCAGTAAGAATATCGCCATCCTCACACCAATGCTGGGACTGACCTGGGGATTCGGGATAGCTGTAGTCATCAACGACAGATCCCTGGCCTTCCACATTCTCTTCTCCTTGTTCAATGCATTCCAGGTAAGTCCAGACATTTCTGATCCCGTCCAAAGTGCGAGCATTCAGGGAGACGCTTTGTGATCAGGAGGCTGTGGCATCGTATTTCTTTATAAAACACAAGAAATTTGGAATAGCATACTGGGTCAGGAAATAAGCTTTTGTTCCAGAAAGGCCTGGATTCAAATCTTGACTCTCTCGTTTACTAATGTACAACCTTCTCCTGGGGTATTTGCTTAACTTTTCCAAGCCATATTTTCCTTACTTATAAAATGGGTATAACCTGCCCACTTCATAGGTGTGTTTGGAAAATGAAATAAAATGGTGAATGGGAAAGTACCAAGTACTAAAATGACCTAACGTTCATAAATAGCCTAATAGTAGGCTGAGATGTTACTGCTTAGAAATGAAAAATACCACTTCTCCAAAAATCTAGGTATGCAACTGGAGGTATTTACATGTGCACATTTACATGTTCTACTTAGGATTTTTANTCTTAAAATTTTTAAGCAAGTAGAATGGTCTTCATTTTGATTTGTGAACCTTAATATGTATACTTATTCAACTCCTCCTCCTTTGTTTTTTCCTAAAGAAAAAAAATCTATTGAGTATATGGGTTGAGTAGTGTTAACTCTATGAAAATCTGTTGTCTTGCTTGTCTTGTTGTCATTCCTTAAATCACTATTTATTTATTTGTTATTTAAAAATTTTTTTATTGTATTTATTGGGATGACATTGCTTAGTAAAATTATATAGGTTTCAAGAGTACAATTCTATAATACATCATCTATATATCACATTGTGTGTTCACCACCCAGAGTCAGTTCTCTTTCCATCACCATATATTTGATCCACTTTACCCTCTTCTATCACGTCCCTCCCCATTTAGCCTCTGGTAACCACTAAACTGTGGTTTGTGTCTATGAGTTTTTTGTTTGTCTTGTTTGTTTGTTTCTTTAATCATGTCTTGTTCATCTGTTGCCTTAGATCACTTTTAAAAAATTAGTTTTGGTTAAGAGGAAAAACATTCTGTATGATGAAGATTTTAATATAAAGTAATGCATTTCAGAAAAACATGGACTCATGTTCAAATTTTATGAGAATTTTGTCAACAAAGTGGTTTTATGTTTCCCATTTTTGATGATTTTACCCAAAGCAGTAACTGCATTGGTGATGATTCTCATAAGTCACATTGATAATTTGCCTCCTGGAATTTTCATCCATTTGAATGAGTTAGGTTGGAATAACGAATGGAAACATGACTGCAATTTACTTAAAAATGTATATCCACTTGGGTTGCTACTAAATACTTTAAAAATGATGTGCAACAAAGTAATCCTTTTGCTGAAAGAACTACAGACCTTCAAACAACTATTGACAATAGGCTAAAACAGATAATGCAAAATATTTTAAATAATCATTGGATTTCAGTGGAAATTCAGCTAGGCAAGTATTTCAATGCAGTAAGTAGGATTTAAATATACATTTGCCTAATCTTTAAAATAATGGCAGTGTTTGCTATGGATTTATTCATGATTGGGATAAAGATGATTTCTGTTTGGGTAAAAATGGTCAACCATTGCAAAAGTCCTTGGCCTTTGTCATTACAGCCTAGCCTCCTGACTCCTTCCATATGAAAGCAAAGAAACAGCAAATACCTTTCAAAGGTGATCTCACTCAGGATGAAAAAATATTAAAATTGTTAACATTTAATATTAATATCTTCAACATATGTGAGTCCTCTATAAAGCACGGGGCCTGATGCAAGTCATAAGCTCTTTCCCACCACTTTCTCTCCCTCTCTTTCCTCTTTCTTCATTTAGCATATTGTGTGTCCACCATGTGTCCGGCTGTGACCTGGGTGCCAAGGAATCATTGTAGTTTTGACATCAGTTTTGGCAGAAATAAGCTGCTATCTACTTATGAAAATACAGCTCCGGCGTTAGGTGGGAACGAGGCATAATAGGCCAAGCCTCGTGCTTCCTCTCCTTCTAAATACATTTCCAGGCTGAGTTTGCACATAGGAATCCCAACTCACGTTCCTCCGTAGCCACCCACGTCTTTCTCAGCCCTGCCTAACCCAAGAGTGAGCTGTCATTCCCGCTCCCTGAACACAGGCTGTTATTTCTTACACCTGGGCAGGCACCTTCCTTTGTAGGGATTCCCACATGAGGCTTCACATGCAAGCTGACAGCGGAGGCTGGAGGTTATCTCAGCAATCGCTTGTGCCTCCCAGTGCCAGCTGGGGCTCATACCTGCAGCCTCCTGGTGCAGTCGATGGGGAACCACAGGGAGTCCATCTCTGGGGAGGGGACTCCCCAGTAGATGTCGTTAAGGCCGGAACCCAATCCATAGGCTGACTGGGTCAGCCGTGGCATGGAACTTTGAAAGCTTCAGATTGGAGACGTTTTGCCTTCTCATTTCTTTTTATAGCAGCAAGAACGGCCGCTGTGTGAAAGACGATGAATCATACACTTCTGCTGTGCTGCTTAGTGTTTCTTTGGCCCACAGAGTCCTGCAGGACGCTATGCCAGGTAAGAGGAGGGAGGGAGGTGGGTGAAATGGTGGGGAGAGCAAATGGAAGACAAAACCCATCCGTTAGCCAGATCTCAATGATCCTAGCGGAAGGGTAGGGAAACGATGGTGGTAGAAGGGCTCAGCCAGAAGAAATTGCAACTACAGGTAACCAAAGCCCATTTTAGCCAAAAGCTGCAAATTATTTTCCCAACTTTTTCTGTGTGTTCCTGAGAGGCTCAAATGATGTGAGGGTGGTAAGTTCTCTTGTCCATATCCTTTAATGATGAAGTGTTTAGTTGCTTATCATCTGGGCAGTGCCAGAAGCACTTGAAAAAGTGGGGGCGGCGAGGGTGTCACAATGACTGGGAGCTATTTAATGGCATTTAGTGGGCAGGACCTAGGCATGAGGTAGCAGAGTGAAGCATCGTCCCGCCCACAATGACATCTCCTTTGAGAAAACTGATACTGAGCACCATGGATGGGCTAGAAGGAGCAATGGACAGCTCAGCTATTTAATGGTTAATGAAAGTCTAACTGGGATGGGGTTTGTAGCAATGAGCTGTTTGTAAATTTTGTGGGGCAGTGAGCCCTATGCCTCTCTCCAAAACATTTTTCCTCATGCAATAACTCATTTTAATTTTCATATTAGTTACTTATTTAAAATAAGGTATGGAGAATCACTGAGAGACTGAGAACATAAAACTATTTTGAGTGTCTTGGGAAGAGAGTATTATTATTTGACCACAAGATCTGGAAGGGAGCTTTGAGATCCAACTGGTGAAGACTCACTCCCTTATCTGGGAAACTGAAGCCCATGGTGTGGAACGTGACTTGCTTGAGGTTACATATCTACTTAGCTAAAGGGCCAAGGCCAGGGCCTTTGTCTTCACGTTCTTCGTTTCTCGTTCTTTCCATTTTTGCACTTGTCTTCTGAAGAAGAGCTTCCTTAGAAGAGAATGACTTTGGAAATTCTAAGAGTTCCCAAGTGATATTTACTTTACTCTCCAAGTCCTTTGCCCTTGGGTGGACATTGGCTCCATGAAGCCACTTCCCCCCAATACTGAGCTGGTGCCTACTTTCTGGGAGAGTTTAGACACCCCTTCAGGAAGAACTTTTCCAGGAGGCATCCCAACCCTACAGCGTGGTGCTATATAGTTTCCTCCTTAATTTTCTCATTTACATTTTCCCACAAGACAGACCTTGGAGAGTAGGCAGAGCATCAGAGGTTAGCTTTGTTTACTTGATTATTGGGGGTCACCTTATCATTCCATCCTTTGCTGAGCTTCTGGGTGCTACACCTCTCCTGACCTGCCTACTCACTGAAGCGGCTCTGCAGGTTAAGCAGGTGGCAGGTTTTCAAGTGTAATTTTTTTGTTTTGTTTTTTCTTTAGCTGAGCCATCCTGCCACCTGTTGGCAGCTAAGCGGTAGCTCAGCTCAGGCCGGGCATCGAACCACTCTTGCTCAGAG